TTTTGAAAAAGACAATTAAAAGAAAGCTTTATTTAGAACAGGTGGAAATGAAACACACTTGTTTTTACAAAATTTCCATTTCATTGTAGGCACGTTGCTAATTTTATTTTCTTAATTCAACTTAATTTTGTGAAACAGCTTATCTCCATTTGCAGTTTTATATTATGTAAATTTATTCCTTATTGTCAAATTCTGCCCAGCTTTACTATACAACCACTTGTTTTTCCCATGCATTGGTATACACTGCACATTTTAAATGGATTCATCACAATCCAGTACAAGACACACAAAACACTTTTAAATGGTCTGTTGATTTTTAAAACTGCTATTGTTAAGCAACAAACAAGTAGCCTAATGCTTTATACAAAAACAAGTCTTTTCTTTATGATAAATTGCACTTAAATGGTAGCAAAATACAGCAAGCATTAATATTTCAGGTATAAGAATCTATGTTTGAAAGAGAAATGCCATTGAACTTCAGTGCAAAAATTAATAGAAACATGCCATACATAGACACCTCGAAGTACTTGAGATGGTGAGTAAATCATCAGCCTTCCATAATCCAGGTTGCTTCAAACTCTAAGGGATCACAGTGCAAAAGTGACACTGAAGCAGCTATCCAATGGCAAACAGAAGGTAAACCCCAAAAGTACTGCCCTAAATCTTGTGCATTATACAGACCAGACACACTCTACCAGCCCCAAAATGAGCTACTGGAAGGATTATTACAGATCTGAGGACTTCTGCACATTTTGTGATTGTTATTCATGAAAATAATTACATCAGCAGATGAATAGTAAGGAAATGCATAGTGTCCATGTCATGAAACCAAAATATATGTATTTTCCTGAACAGGAAGTGCATGGATTTAACACTCTTTACACTGCAGAGATGGAATAACAAAGGACAAGAAGGATCCTAGGATTTATGATTAACTCGTCTCCAAACCTAAGAACTTGCTTTAATGACAAAAAAAAACTCACCAGAAATGAAAAGAAAAAAGAAGTCAAGCTGATTTGAGAAAACTTATTCAAAGTTATAAAAGGTTTGATAAAGGTAGAGAAGATAAATCTTTTAACAATATTTCTATTTTATCTGAAAAAAAGGGACATGACCCAAATTTAGAAAATTGCGAAAGAAGTGAATTATAAAAAGGACTATTTTACAGAAAAGAAAGACCAAATTTAAAAAAAGAAGACACTTCTGTATCTACTCAAATTTCTTTGTGCTCAAAAAGTCTGTGAGAAACAGTGAGATCAAGTCAGTGGTTTTATAATAATAATAAAATAATTCAAACATTTTTATTTAGAAAAGGAAAAGGGAAAAGGTAGACAGCTAAGGAGGGGCTAAGATATTTCTTTACAAAGATTATTTGAGGGCTTAGACTATATCTCAGATTGGTTTCCTTTTGTTTCCATTTTCATTTCAACCTTGTTCTGATTCTCTAGGTTAAACTATAGCTACCCTAACCTCACCAGTGAGGGTTTGCACATCTCTGTCCTGCCTGCCATGTTGTTCCTGTTTCTTTTCATGTCTCTCTTCATCCAGTTAATTTTACCATCAGTGCTTTTTGCTATGTTTTTTTTATGCCTCCCACTGCAGTCAGGAAACACTTGGTCACCCCCATTCGATACCTCTTTCAACTCCCAAATAATACTTCCAGAAGGTGGGAAATGGAAAAGTCAGAATCATAATAAAAAGCTGTCACAAATAAAATTTTGGAGCCAACAGTGCAAGCCTAACTTTATTCCTTTTTAGGTCCTGAGATGTTCTGTTTTATTTACAGCTATCTATGTAAGCCACATCATTATCCCTTGGGACAGATCTAACCAAATTATATAGTCTGAAGTGTCCTTAGCCAGTGTAAAGCAAAATGAATTTTGGCTTATTGGATGAATTGACCCAAGAGACTAGGATGCAGGTTGTAGGTGTTCCTGCTGCTTAAATTCCCTTTTGCAGATGTATGGTGCAAGTCATAGGATCATGGGATCATAGAATCATAGGATTTTAGGGGTCAGAATGGACTTTACAGATCATCTCATCCCAATCTCCCCTGCCATGGGCAGGCACACCTCCCCACTAGGCCAGGTTGCTCAAGGCTTCATCCAGCCTGGCTCTGAACACCAGTCCTCAAAAGTTCAACAAAATGCACCATGTTTTGTTCAAGCCTTTCATTCAAATGGACTGAAAATCTGAAGGCAGATCCACCTTAAAGAAATCAGGAGAGAAGGAATTTAACTTGAAATCCATCCAAAGTCTATTGAAGATTTGACCTATGCTAGCTTTAAACTTTTTAGCAAAACTAGAATTACAACACTCTACAGTAACCACAGCTTGCCCAGCCAGCCTTCCCCTATGCCTACTTAATAACAGGATGGCTGTGAATTTACAGAAAACAATTAGCACCTCCTAGCATTGGATGACAGTGATGTTCTTCTCTCAAAGTGCTCTCAATATGAAATGTTCTTAAAAGAAATAAAAATCAAGGAAAGGCTTTTAGGGCCAAAGTTTACTTGGGGTGCAAAGCAGCTGGGTTTTCTTGTATCACAGCTCTACTTGGCACCCCATTGCCTTCCATCTACAGATGGCAGATTTCACAATCAGTTATTTTGTGAGTGCTGCTTTAAAATACACCACCAGCAGCCTGGGCTAAAAATGCAACTGTAAGCATGGCTTAGATAGGCCAGAGCTGTCACATATTTTCAGAAACAAGCAGTTGCAGCAATGGCCATCAGAGTCTCAGATCATTAAGCAATGTCTCAGTGTGATGTCATGCACTGATGTGCAGAGTTGTATTCCTTTCAAAACAGACAGATTTTCAGACTGATAAAGTAGATACAAACATGCTACTGAACAGGCATGACTAAAGCTTTGGAAAAAAATTTATTGGCCTGAAAACGCATGGAAAAAGGTCTTAACGACATCACCAGACAGTTGCAACATGACTAGAATAACCAAAAGGTTAGTAAACAAACAGTGTTCTTTACACCTTGAAATCTTTTATCACACATTTGAGCTGCCAGGGCCACAGTGGCCTGACTGGATGCTTAGATCCCTGGATGGCAGTTATAAAACACAGATGGGTTCTTATTTGCTTCAAGCTGGCAAATAACTATCACCCATTTGTATAATATAAATTCCTTTTCATTTGGACAGATTACTTGTGTCATATTAAAAATCAAGAGCTGAATTTGAATCTACCTGTGTTTGCAACATATTGAGGAGCAGAAAAAGAATTTCCATCCCACTGAGGATTGACAATGTCCTCACTCTAGTGGCTATGCTGTAGCATTTTTGCCAAAGTTCAGAACTAACTGAATGCCTACAAAATTGGCCCCTTTCTTCATTGCTTGAACAGGATGAAAACAGCCCAACAGAAAGCAGACTGGTGATAATCTAATATAAAAACTTCTACTACATTTACTGAAACTTGAGCACCTTCTCGTCACAGTGTTTAAACCCAAGCAGATGGATTTGTCTGTTTTGGATG